AGTCTCAAACATATGGATCCAGACAGTAAAAGCAATTGGAGGCTCACCTGGGCTTGCAGAAAGGGTGCAGGTGGGTTCAGAGGCAGAAGATCCATCCTCATCACCAAAATGTTGTATCAACCAGGCAAGGTACTAACAAGCTTCAACAGGACTTTATTTTCAAAGTGGAAAACTCTTTACCAAGCTGCTGCTGCACCCTCTGTAGCTCTCTCCCAGCCTCTCAACTCCTCCCCCCTCCTTCCTGTTTCTTGTCCTTTCAGACTCCCAACAGCCAGTGCTCCCAATTCTAATAATTACAAGCAACATCTAAACACCACACACCATTCCAGAGGACATGCGTCCATGCTGATGAGGGGTTCTGCTCAATAATAATCCAAAACAGTGCAGACCGACCCATATTCATTTTCATCATCTGAGTCAGATGCCACCAGCAGAAGGTTGATTTTCTTTTTGGTGGTTTGGGTTCTGTAGTTTCTGCATTGGAGTGTTACTCTTTTAAGACTCCTGAAAGTAAGCTCCACACCTCATCCCCCTCAGATTTTGGAAGGCACTTCAGATTCTTAAATCTTGAGTCAAGTGCTGTAGCTATCTTTAGAAATCTCACATTGGTACCTTCTTTGCGTTTTGTCAGATCTGCAGGGAAAGTGTTCTTAAATCGAACATGTGCTTGGTCATCATCTGAGACTGCTATAACATGAACTATATGGCAGAATGCGGGTGAAACAGAGCAGGGGACATACAATTCTCCCCCAAGGAGTTCAGTCACAAATTTGATTAACGCTTATTTTTTTAACGAACATCATCAGCATGGAAGCATATCCTCTGGAATGGTGGATGAAGCATGAAGGGACATACGAATATTTAGCATATCTGGCACATAAAACTTTGCAATGCTTGTTCTCACTTTCAGATGACATTGTAAATAAGAAGCAGGCAGCATTATCTCCCATAAATGTAAAAAAACTTGTTTGTCTTAGCAAAGAAGTAGGATTGAATGGACTTGTAGGCGCTAAAGTTTTACATTGTTTTGTTTTTAAGTGCAGTTACGTAACAAAAAAAATCGACATTTGTAAGTTGCCCTTTCACGATAAAGAGACTGCACTACAGTACTTGTATGAGGTGAATTGAAGAATATTATTTATTTTGTTTATCATATTTACAGTGCAAATATTTGTAATAAAAATAATATAAAATGAGCACTGTACACTTTGTATTCTGTGTTGTAATTGAAATCAATATATTTGAAAATGTAGAAAATATTTAATACATTTCAATTGGTATTCTATTATTTAACAGTGCGATTTAATCACAATTAATTTTCTTAATCACGATTACATTTTTTGAGTTAATCGCATGGGTTAACTGCCATCAATAGACAGCCCTACTTTAAATCTTATTAAATTATGTAGAATCTGTTTGACCCACACAAGGTTGTGCTTAGGTGTCGTAAGGTTGGGCACCACTGCGCTAGAAGATTGCTGTCACAAGGTAACTGTCCCTTTCAGGGTATGGATCACAGCTCCACCAATGGAATAGTGAGCTCTCCTCTCCCCAGGGGTGGGAAATGATGTCATGTGACTGGTGGGTCATGTGATTCCAGAAGGGGAATCTTGTTTTAAATAGTTTAGTCTGTGAAGAGTTACTGGGAGAGCCAGGAGACAAGTCAGGGTGGGGTGTTGTAGGGCCACCTCAGGGGGAGCTTTGGAGGCAGGGTCCTCACCACAGCTGCTCTGGTGCTGTGAGGCTGAGTCCATTAATGCTTGTCATGCATTTTGCGATCCAGACAGAAAGCCCTGAAGCATTTGTATTTCAGCAGGGACTCATTTCAGGGAAGTGTTGTGGCAAGTCCTCGAGACAGGATGCTGCTGACACAAGTTTGTGGCCACATTAGTTGCCCCACGTGGAGCTGACACATTCCTTGGAATGGAAGCTCCACATTGGAACCAAGTTCTTTTGTCTGATTTTTCTTATCAGGCCTGACCCTGCCCTGTGTGATCCTCAGTCCAGTGGTCATGTAGTTATTCCCAGGGAGAATTATAGGATTTATGCAATATAAAGGCGGTGAAGTGAAGGTGTAGTTAAGAGTGGACTGTCCACTCAGTTCTTGCCTGGAGCAAGACTACTATGGGCACCTGCTGGAACATGCTCACTGGAACGAGCCTCTCACTTTTGAATTTGCAAGCACCTGAGTTACGCCGCAAAACCTGGACAGAGAAAGCATGTTGATTGGGGGAGGGGTTGTCTGCACAGAGGAGAGAGAAACTGCAGACATTGTCCATTTCTCTGTCTGAGCTCCCTCTTCAAAGACACTGAACAGTATGACACAGGCTCTTCCAAACACAGTTCTAGTATCTGTTCTTGTTGTCCAGTGCTACAATGCACTGGAATCTAAACAGTGTTGCTTTCTTGGTCTTATCTCTACAATTATTTGATTCCAAACTCTTCACTCCTCAACTGTCCTTAACAGATTGCACTGATGATGATACTGAAAGGTGGGAAATGATGTAAAGGCAAAGTCTGACAATTTAGCAAGTTCCCACAAGGTACAGTATATCACACAATACAATGTTTTATGTACTAAATATTTTCCCTCTTAAGTAGAAGGATTTAGAGAGCAAAATGTGATATGTTGAGATATTTAAGGCATTATAGGTTGTTGTTGTTTTTTTAAACGCACAGTTTTCAAATGTGGTCCCCAGAGAAAGCTGTAAATTGAATTCAAGCACCAGGTAAGTGACACCAGAAAGATTTTTGCTCCAGGTGATCAAAATATTGAGGGGTTTCAGAGGAACAGCCGTGTTAGTCTGTATTCGCAAAAAGAAAAGGAGTACTTGTGGCACCTTAGAGACTAACCAATTTATTTGAGCATGAGCTTTCGTGAGCTACAGCTCACTTCATCACATGTTCATCACATCTGATGAAGTGAGCTGTAGCTCACGAAAGCTCATGCTCAAATAAATTGGTTAGTCTCTAAGGTGCCACAAGTACTCCTTTTCTTTTTTTGAAAATATTGAGGGAGATACTCAGAACAGGGATTCATTGTGAAGGCAGATGAAGCTGCAGAACTGACTTGGCTGGTCTGTGGGGGAGTCAGCACTCCAAGCATGAACACCTCTGCCAGCCATGGGATTTGCTTGCTATTGATGCAGATAGTTTCTCCTTAAGAAAGGGAGGGTGGGGAAAAGGTGGAAAGGAGCAGTAGCTCTAAAGTGTGTGTTACGGGTGCTGATCCCTGTACAGATGTGCACTTATTTATGCATAAGTACGCTGTTCAAAGTGGGGTTCTGGAATAGAATGATGATCCAAAGCCAGCTAAAGTCATTGGAAGTCTCTCTACTGACTTTGATGTGCTTTGGATCAAGCATGTCTTTCATAGATGCATGTCATAAAGATGACAGCCCACCAAGGGGTTTGTTCCATTACAGGATGTTCAAAATGTATTTGCAATGCATTTTTTCCTTTATTTTTCTGTTTCAGTTAGATCATAAGCACTTACACCAGTCTCTGGGTGCTTGTCCCAAACATGAATATACACAGAAATTACATACAAGGACTACATACAAAGAATGTTACTCAGGTTTCAAAATTAAGAATGTAAAAGATGGGGAAATGCCAGATTTATACTTGCCCAGGCGACCTTAATTCAGCTGCCAAACTCTGGAGTCTGGGTCCTGTGGAAAAAATATTGTACAAGGGGGCTGGATCAAGGCTGCATGGTTCGCAAAAGTTGAGGATGTTTTAAAAGTGCCAGAAAGTTGTTCTTTTTCTTTTGCTACCTTGCAACTTTTCCAAAGTTGGAGAAGGTTTGAAAAGTTAGAGAGGAAGAAGGAAAAAGTTGGAGGGACATTGCCTGGACATTATTAAGTTTATTGCACTCAGTGGCAAAAAGATGGAGAGAGGGAAAATGAAAAAAAATCATTTTTTCAAAATAATATTTTGTGAAATGTCTTGAAAACAAAAAAAATTCCTTTTGCACAAGCAGCCAAGGACTGTGCTTTCAGTTCAAGCAATGAAGAGAATAGGTCTCTAATACAGAGCGATCTGGACCACTTGGCCAACTGGGCACAAGCAAACAACATGTGTTTTAATACCGCTTTGTGTAAATGTATACAGCTAAGAAAAAAGAATGTAGGCCAAGAATAGGGGTCTCTATCCTGGGAAGCCATGACTCTGAAAAACATTTGGGTGGATAGTTGAACATGACAGCCCAGTACGATACTCTGGCCAAAAGGGCTAATGCAATCCTGGGGTGCATAAACAGAGGAATCTTGAGTAGGAGTAGAGAGGTTGTTTTACCTCTGTATATGGCTGCTGGAACACTTGGTCCATTTCTGGTGCGGAGAGGATTCAGAGAAGAGCCACAAGGCTTAGAAAACCTGCCTTAGGGTGATAAATTCAAGGAGTTCAATCTATTTAGTTTAACAAAAAGAAGTTGAAGGGGTGACTCAATCACAGTCTATAACTAGCTCTGTGGGGAACAAATATTTGATAATGGGCTCTCCAACTTAGCAGAGAGGGGTCTAACATGATCCAAGGGCTGGAAGTTGAAGCAGGACAAATTTGAACTGGAATTAAGGTGTACATTTTTAACAGTGAGAGTAAGTAACTGCTGGAATAGCTTACCAAGAGTCGTGGTGGATTCTCCATCACTGACAATTGTTAAATCAAGACTGCTGGAGGAATGATGTTGGGGCAGGTCTGTGGCCTGTGCTATGCAGGTCAGACTAGCTGGTCACAGTGGTCCCTGTGGCTATGAAAAAGCATTCTTGCATCCAGTCCTAATACAGCGTTCAGCCAGGGGCATTATTTTCAGTTGGCTGGCTTGCCTTTTTTCCATCTCTCGCCTGGCACAAGTGTGTGTGTGGAGGGGGCTCAGCTGGCAACCAGCCCTTTCAGGGACTTTCAGTAGCAAGCGAAACACTCCAGTCTCCTCTCCTAGCCTCGTTGCGCTGGGACTTTGCTCTTGCCCCCGCAGCCCCAACGCAACAAGGTACCTGCTCCGACCTCGACCCGCCTGCGCCAACAGCAGCCAAGCCTGGAGGCTTCACTCAGCCCGAGCCGGAGCCGCCGCCTGCCTTCCCCGCCTTCATCCCTCCTCCTCCTCCTCTCCTGCTCAGCGGAGAGGGAGGCGCAGCCCGGCTCCCAGGAGATGCCCGGCGGCCGGCTCTCTCCTTGCTCCCATTGGCCTACTGGGGGTCGCCTAACGTGCTGCGGCGGCGGCTGGGTGCGCTAGCCGCTGGGAGCGCACTTGCAGGGGGCGACAGGCGGGGCCGCTTGGAGCAGCAGCATAAGCGCGGCTGGCTGGCGAGGGAGTTTTGCAGCCCGGCGGCAGCGACCGTGTCTGCGCCCTGCCCAGCGATGAGCAGCCCGAAAGTCCCGGCCCGGCCAGAAGCGGCTGCGGTGCCCCGGAGCTAGGGCTGCCTTGCCCCCTGGCCAGCGGCTCGGAGGTCAGCAGCAGCCGGCTGTGGAGAAGATGCGCCCCCGGCTGGCACGGCCCCTGGGCGCCCTGGGCGCAGCGCGCTGAGCCAGGCGCAGCCGGCTGCTGCCCTGAGTGGCCTGGTGCGGGCGGGCCGGGGTCCCCCGGTTCTTCTGCGCTGAGCCGGCAGGCAGGCGGCTCCGAGGAGACAGGGACAATGTACGCGGGGCGCAAGAGGAGGAAGCCCGTGCAGAGGACGTAAGTAGGGAGCCGGAGGGGGAGGCTGGAACCTGCCTCGCTGGCTCGACCCCCTGGCAGGGAGCTCTCCCTTGGGGGCAGCAGCACAGGGCTGGCGGGGAGGTGGGTGTCTGGAGCTGGGGTGCACGTTCGGGGTGGGGGCGAGGTGGCATTGCTCTCCAGGCAGCACTCTGCCCCTTTAGCTCCCAAAACTTGACAGAGCATGTGTTGGGTTGGAGAGAGAATGAATCCAACCCGCCTGCCAAAGGACTCTGCCTCCCACCCCAGTGCCTGCCCCGGAGCTACGGGCGGTCTGTCTCCTGCGGACTTTCCCCCCATTGCAGCATTCACAAGCCGACTTCTCTCTCTTTTTTCTTTTTTTCTTGAAACCCCTCGTTCATTTCATCGCTCCCTAGCTCCGCTGCTACGTATTTCCGCTGGGCAGCGGTTGAAACTAGATTTCTATGTGTATTTCCCAGCTGCGGATGTTCCTTGCCAAGGAGGAAAAGCCAGAGTTTGAGCCTGATGAGGCCCTGTGATGCAATGCCAGCACGGTGAAATTGCCTTGGTAAAATGGTGCCAATGAACTCCCTCCCCAACCTTAAAAAAGTCCTTTTCATGAGAACCTATGCAGGATATTTGTTGAAAACATAGGCAGGATCTATGGTCTGCATACATTTGCATGTTGTATGGTCTGCATACATATGGCTATTGCACCATATGTCACATCTTCCCTACAAGATAGGCTCGAGCTATCACCCACAGTTGGTCTGGAAGTTTTATATAAAGGTTTCAAAGACTTCACATGGGGCATGTTATGATAAAGAACCCTGTTTAAATTATCAGTAGCCTCCATTTGAAAAAGATACTAGTGAACAATAGTTGTCCTTTCAAGGGCTGACCTATTTTTAGTTGATAACCTTCCCAAAGATTAATGATGGAAAGGGTGGCTTTTTAAGTTGTCCCATTGACCAGATTGGATCCTGTGAACATGCCCTAAAAGAAGTTACCATGGCAGATATTTGGAATCAAAAGAGGTGCCTTAGTTATTTTATTGACTTTAAAAAAAAACAAATGTTCTTTTTGTAACTGGAGTGTGTGGATTTCAGGTTATCCCTTGCCTTTTCTCGTGGTGAGACTCCGAATTATTTTATAATTGATAAAATAATGTGGTACATCTTCAGAAGGCTACAATGAACTTCAGGTTTGTGCTTTCTACCCACATGTGTACCATCCAAAACTATTCTCATTGTTTGCTTTTCCATGGTTAGGGAATAGGTACAAGAGACACAATTTACTAAAATGTCAGTGCAGTTAAAATAAAGGACTGGTTATCATGTAGTATGAGCTAATTATTAATTTAACCAGCACAAATGGTTTGTCTGTTGATTTGCAGCCATTCATTGGGACGAATGGCCAATTTTAACACTCAGTTAAAAAGTTTAGTTAAAGTGCTGGCTAGAAATCTTTAAAATATATTAAAAATATGAAGCCTTTTGGACCAGTATAAACTCTGAATGGCTGGAACTCCGTGTCCCAGGATTGCCCAGTCACATTCTCACACTTGCTCCCTTGCAGCCACGAGAGTAGGCTGAAATATGGAAGGGAAGAAGTTGAAACTCGTAAAGCTTCTAAAGTAGATTCAGAAGGCAAGCAAGAAGGGCGCCCGACCTCATGCATTGAGCAAGTGTCCTCTTGAACCTGGATTCATTTGTTTAAAATGAAATAGATAAATGTCCTTAGAAAAAGTCGCAAGGCCCTTTGCATGGGTAAATGAAAAGTAACCAACAGAGGCCATTGTTAGGGTTGGGCAGTTTGGTAGCCTGATGGCGGGAACAACTGAAATCAGAGGTGATGGGGGGAGGCATGCAGGATCACGTGCCCCCTTGTTGCTTGGCTTGTACTGAGCATGCTCACACAGCCTGAGTGTGTGGATTTCAGGTTATCCCTTGCCTTTTCTCATGGTGAGACTCCGAATTATTTTATAATTGATAAAATAATGTGGTACATCTTCAGAAGGCTACAATGAACTTCAGGTTTGTGCTTTCTACCCACATGTGTACATATGGCCACTGCCCTCCCGCTGCCCTTCTCCCCCACTATTGGCAGGTCTTTGACTGGGATCATGAAGAACAGCTGCAGCTCATTCTTGTTTTGATGCAAAGGGGTTAATTGTAAGTGCTTGGGGCAGGGGCCATATGTTATTCATCTGGGGATCAGGGTGCACGGTGCTAGAAACATATGAATAGCAGGAATGAATAAGGGCTTGAAGTAAGAGTTCCCATTCTGTTAAGAAATCAAGAGTGGAGGTCGGCAGTCTGGCAGCCCTCGCAGGAATGCCAATTGTCATAGTCCCCTCTCACACCCTTGCTGTGTGCTGGAGAGTGCTGTGAACTCTGCAGGTGTGTTTGTGATGTGTCTTCCTTTGCTCCTCCCCCCGGCAGAGTGAAGCCGCCACCCCCAGAAGGTGTGAAGTTGAACCCCTCCAAGCGCCATAGGGATCGGCTGAACTCGGAGCTGGAGCGGCTGGCTAGCTTGTTGCCTTTCCCCGAAGAGGTCATCTCTACCCTGGATAAACTCTCCATCCTGCGCCTCAGTGTCAGCTACCTTAGGGCCAAGAACTTCTTCAACAGTAAGAGCAAACTGTGGGAGGGTGGGAGCCTGGAGTGGGCCCTTTCCCATTAAATACATCATTTTCCCTTCAGCACTGCAACAGGACCAGCAAGGTGCACACTGCAGGGAAATCTCACCCTTTGTGTTAACATGCTGGCAGAAGAAGATCGTTTCATTGCATAAGGGAATGGTTATTGTGAAAATCTGATTCCTGCATGTTGCCGGCACCTTTCACTCACCCCCACACCTGCAGACATTAAAACGGACTTTCACCACCAACACAGTGTAATGTGGATCTGCCACTTCACACTCATATTAAGGGAAGCTACTGGGAAGGTAAAAAGCCCTCTGAAACTTCATGCTTATCTGGTGCTACATTTTCCTGCATTGGAAAGCAGAAGTCCCAGAAGACCGAGCATGTCCCTTCCACCAGATCTCTTATATCTGTTCTGTATTTAGCCTTTTATTTGAAATATGGCACATGGAATCTTGTCTAAAATCAGTTAGCTCCAGGATCAGATGTGTTTTAGCTTGATTGAATTTTGGCGAGAGAAGCACTCCCTGTTTCTGAGGACAGCATGGTAATTCCCTGGCAGTACAATGGCATCTCCTGCCGCAATAGTCTTCAAATTGGGCTTGTCCTCTTCTTACTTTTCAGTACTAATTTTTATCTCTTGAGCCGAAGAGCTCAGAGGAGCAGAATCTGTTCCCATTCAGAATACTATACTGGAACGAGAGGAATCAAATCTATTAGGAAGCCTAGATAGCAGACTAATAATACCAGATCTCAGTGCTCAGGATGCATCTAATTGAGCAGTGTTGTCGTAGCTGTGTTGGCCACAGGATATAAGAGAGTCAAGGTGGGGGAAGTAATATCTTATTGACCAGCTTCTGTTGGTGGAAGGGACCCGTTTTCAAGCTTCGCAGAGTGCTTTTTCAGACCTGAAGAAGAGCTCTGTGGAGCTCAAAAGCTTGTCCCTTCCACCAACAGAAGTTGGTCCAATAAAATATATTCCCTCCCCGACCTCGTCTCTAGTTTAGTAGTCAGTTTATTGCCTATTAAAGTCAGAGTTCCTGATCAAAATGAGTGTAGTTTTTGATGCATTTGTTTACTTAGGGTGTGTCTACACTGCAGCATAAGCCCATGTTTAAGGCCCGGGCTCAGGCATAACTCCCCTGGCGTCTACACTGCAATTGTGCTAACCCAAGGCTTGGACCCAGGATCCCAGTTAAGCTGGAACCCAGCATCTGAGCCCTATTGCTTTGCAGTGTAGATGCAGTCCCGCTTGACTCGGGTCCCGGGAGTCAGTTGGAAGTATCCCACAATTCTATGGGACAGCTTCCTTAGTCCTCTCTATCCCAACAATCTGCGATCCACTCTTTTGAAAATGGAAGCCACCTTCCTTTGCTAAGAGCAGCAGCTCAGGGCAGCATTAACCCATTCTCTTCTGATCACCGATCTCAAAGCACACTGTCAGAGAGCCTCCTGAGTTTGCAATGGAGAGCAAACCCATCAAGCCTTTTGCAAAGTGAGCTGCTTCCTGATAACGTGCAGGGCAGGCAGTAAAGTTTCCCCACAGTGCACCATCATCCTAGGGCTAGAGCAGCTATATTTTGAGGGGCACTAGGGACTCTGCAATATGGTTACTTGGCTCTGTGCATTATAGTGTGGGTGCCAGAGTCCTAGGTTCAAACATGGGTTAGAAAAGTCTTAGCATAGGGTTAAAATACAGTGTCGATACTCATGCCCAGGGTTCCCTAACTCGAGTCCCACTAAACCTGGGATTACATTGCAGTGTAGACATACCTTTACACACACATTTGATACTACTGATGGCCAGAGGTGAAAGTAATTTAAAGGACACCGGTACTCCGGAGCCCTGAGCAGGGGGTGTGGCCTTGACCTGAAGATTTAAAGGCCCCAGGGCTCCAGCTGCAACTGGGAACCCGGGAGCCTTTAAATCACCCCCAGAGGCAGCTGGGAGCCCCGGGACTCAGGGGCGATTTACCACAGCGGAGCTCAGGCCCTTTAAATCACAGCTGGAGCCCTGCCGCCACTACCCCAGGGCTCCAGCAGCAGGGCTCAGACGGCGCTTTAAAGGGCCCAGGGCTCTGGCCACTGTGGGGAACCCTGAGCCCTTTAAAGAGCCAGCCTGGGGAAGCCGGTCCGGCACAGTGTACTGGCTCTTGCCGGTACGCCGGACCAGACCAGCTTACTTTCACTTCTGCCGATAGCACTTAAACAGTTTCAGATTAAAGGTTTCAGGTTTTTTCCCTGTTATATTCTTTAAGTGACCAACTTAATCCTGGATACTGAACATAATTTAGCTGTCTCTGCATCGATTGTTTTAAATTAGCACTATGTTTTTGTAGCTTTTAAACTAAACTGCTTCAAGATAAGTTTCATGGCCAACAAAAGTGTAGCCTTAATCATTCTTGTTTAAAATATCCTCAGTTGCTTTCATTTTATTTGGCACTGTTGGCCCATGCCGTTAAAATACACATAATAACTGATTCTCAGTGGCATAGAACATAGGTGTTTTATTAATGGAGACAAATAGAAATGCATACAGAATGTGTTTTATCTTTTCCCCACAGTATATTTTTGAGATACTGTTTTATATTAAGATTTTTCATTGTTACGCCAATGAGAAAAAAATGAAGTGTGTGAGCTGTTCATTTGCCATGTTTTGACAGAAGCATTTTAATACCAAAGCACATGATTGTTTGGAATTGCAGGGCTCTTTAAAAATTGCATTGGTTTTGTTTGAGGGTTTGTGATAGGGTGGGTGTCCCCATCCAATGCAGGGTGAGTTCACGCTGACCCTCCAGCTGTCCTTTACCTTGAGGTGGTAAGATCAAAGGACTGAAATTTATGGGGTAACCCTGGTTTGCAGGGCAGCCCAGCCTAACAGCCAGGTGTAAGTGTATTTGGGACCAGTTTGGTTTAGGGGCTGGGACCAGCTCCCTTCAGACCAGGGTCTGACTACATCCGGAGTCAATCAGAGCCACCATGGGTGTTCCATTTACATGCACGGGGAACCCGAGCTTCCCTGGGGCCTTCTTCTGGGCCCGTGGGCTAATTACCCACCCCTATCTGCCGTTATAATCTATATAGGGGCAATCCCTTCAGAAAATGCCTCTTGTCCACACTCATAACAACGGTCTCAGGTCCACTTTCACCATGCCAGTCCCCGCCCGGAGGACTTCACCCTGCCGGGGCAGGACTCAAGTAGCTATCAGCCTCTGTGTCAAGTCTGAGTGATTGGTGGGGGTTCTGGATGGGCGTCAGTATCCTCTGGGCTTGTTCCAGCCAGTTTATCTCGTACCACTGACACTTCAGGCTTTCAGTATCGTGGTTCCCCACTTCTGCTGCCAAGTAATCTTCCATCAGCCCTACAGCATCCATACGCGTTACAGACTGGTGTCGTCGCACCCATTCCTTGCCCCTGCAGGGATCTGGGTGAAGTGCAACAGGACTATGGTTTCTGCTACCTGGGCCCCAGACCACTTGTCAGGTTCCAACCACCGCCAGGCGATACCTCTGAGGCGTTGGCCCACTGCTCTTGGTCTGGCCCCAGAAGGATAACACTCTCGACAGAAACACTGTCGCTATGTTTCATGTCTGATGCCAGTTTGGTTGGGATTGCTGCCTTCACCTTATCATCATCTAGTGCGTCCAAGTGGTCAAGATTGCGATAAGCTGACGGGGCAGGCCCAGTGTGGGTGGCCCAGTGCCCTGGGAGCCAATGTGTGGTGGTGGGCACCCACTCAAAGTCACTAGGAACACTTCAGAGTCATCCCCAGGTCCCATCTTGGTAAGCTACAGCAGGAGTCCAGATGGCATGGAGCCAGGGTCGGATTCTGCTAGTATGGTGGTCGGAGTGCCCCCTGGCTGCAGTAAAGCCGCCATCTGCTGCACAAGACTCTCCTGCTGGGCTTGATGATGGGGGGCTAGTCTCCACATCATTTGTGGTTGTTGATTGGCAGCTGTACCTGTTGCTATTTGTGTGCTTCTTGTTGTTGGCTCTCCAAGAGCCATTTCAATACTTTCTTTGACTCCATCTCAAGGCCTAATATTCCCCAAGTGGAGAGGTACAAGTATCCATGGTGGAAATGGTGTCTTCCCTCTTCCTGGGCTTCTCAACACAGGCCTCTCAGCAGGCCCTCATCACTGCCTGCATTCTCCACCACATGCAATGGGGTGGGTGTCCCCATCCAGAGCAGGGAGAGTTCCCTCCCATCCCTCCAGCTGTCCTTTACCTTGAGGTAGTAAGACCTAAGGACTAAAATCAACAGGGTAACCCTGGTTTGCAGGGCAGTGAGACTTAGTGGCCGGGGTCAATAAAGTTCCCATGATTTACAGGGCAGTAGGGCCTAGTGTCTGGAGTCAATACAGTTACCTGGCTTCTCAGGGCAGTGGGGCCTAATGGCCAGAGCCAATAGGGGGAGGGATAGCTCAGTGGTTTGAGCATTGGCCTGCTAAACCCAGGGTTGAGAGTTCAATCCTTGAGGGGGCCATTTAGGTATCTGGGGCAAAAATTGGGGATTGGTCCTGCTTTTGAGCAGGGGGTTGGACTAGATGACCTCCTGAGGTCCTTCCAACCTTCATATTCTATGATTCTATGAATAGAGTTACCCATGTACACAGGGCAGTTGGGCCTAATGGCCAGAGCCAGTAGAGTTACCCTGGTATGCAGGGAAACCCAGCCTAGCAGCCAGAGTCAAGGGGGTTCACCCTGAGTCACAGGGCAGTAAGGATTACTGGCGAGAGTTGGTAGGTTGCCATCTGGCAGAGCTAGGGTAGGGGGACCTGGGCTGACCCTGCTCCACCGGGTCCCAGCCCAGAGCCCTAACAGTGGCAGAGTGTTCCACCACTGAGTCATTGGGGCTCCAGCTGAAACACGCCAACTTATAGCCACAGGACTATAGCTAGTCCCCCCTGGGCCACTTCCTACCATATCTTTTGGAGCTACAGTTGAGGCATCGTCAAGGTCTCCAGGTTTTTCAGCGTGTGCA